CATCTGATTTTGATTATGATTTAATTTTTGGTATTTCTGACAGGGCTGTGGATGCTGAAGTTCATGCGAATGATAATCATCACTCTGAATCTTCGAAGCATAATGATGACTTGGAAATTCCTCCAAACATAGTAGATGTTAATTCAACAACGAATTCTCTTGGACTTGGCGAAAATATGCTTGATAATCCAGTCGAAGGAGAGCACTTGGATTCGAATACTCTGGTTGAGGGGGAGCATTCTTTTGAGGGGGAGAATGGGAGAATGGATGATGTTGTTGAGGGGGAGCATCTAGTTGAGGGGGAGCATCAAAATAATAATAGTGTTGAGGAGGAAAATGAAACAATAAATTTTAATCAAAATGATGATTTTCATGATCTGAATGATAATGTTTCTGTTGTAGGATCTGAAAATGAAGAGCTGTACGAAGATGCACCTTTGGAATTTGATCCGGCTTATCCACCATTAGACAAATGGACAAAGACTCATCCAATTGATCAGGTTATTGGAAATCCTCAAGATGGAGTATTAACACGAGCTCAAATTCGTGCGAAGAATGAGGTATTAAATACTCATCAAGAATTTTGCATGTTTAATATTTTCATATCTAAAATTGAACCAAAGACAGTTAAGATGGAAATGGAACACTCAGATCGGGTTGTTGCAATGCAATCAGAACTGGCTGAATTTGAAAGAAACAAGGTTTGGAGATTAATTCCTAAACCTGAAAATGTTTCGATTGTTGGGTTAAAATGGATTTTCAAAAACAAAACCGATAAAGATGGAAATATTGTACGAAACAAAGCACGTTTAGTTGTAAAAGGATATTCGCAACAAGAAGGAATTGATTATGAAGAAACCTTTGCCCGTGTTGCAAGACGCGAGGCTGTTCGAATATTCTTAGCTTATGCAGCTCATAAGGATTTTGATGTCTATCAAATGGATGTGAAATGTGCCTTTCTCAATGGAGAACTTGAAGAAACAGTTTACATAGAACAACCTCCAGGTTTCGTAAATGAAATGCATCCTGATCATGTATATATATTAGATAAAGCTGTATATGGGTTAAAACAAGTACCAAGAGCATGGTATGCAACTCTTACCAGTTTCTTAAAACAATCGAAATTTAAACAAGGATCAGTTGACCCCACATTATTTCGAAAGAAAGTTGGGTGTCATCTGATGCTTGTTCAAATTTATGTTGACGATATTATTTTTGGCTCTACTGACCCTGCTTTGTCTAGAAAATTCGAAAACTTGATGAAAAGTCAATTCGAAATGAGCATGATGGGAAAAATCAATAATTTTCTTGGCTTAAATATATGTCAAAACAGAGAAGGCATATTCATCAATCAAGAGAAATACACAAGGAATTTGCTCGAAAAGTTTGGAATGACAAATAGCACAAAGTTTAGAGTACCAATGGCTGTTGGCACAAGGCTAACACCTTCGTTAGAAACGCCTGCGGTTGATCTTACTTTATACAGGAGCATGATAGGTTCATTGCTTTATCTTACTGCAAGTAGACCTGATACCATGTTTTCTGTATGTAATTGTGATAGGTATCAAGCAAATCCTCGAGAACCACATTTAACAACAGTGAAGAATATATTTCGTTATCTCATGGGAACAATTTCGTTAGGATTGTGGTATCCTTCGAAAACAGGATTTTTCATTCAGGCATTTTCAGATGCAGATCTAGGAGGGTGTACATTGGATCGAAAAAGTACTAGTGGTGGTTATCAATTTTTGGATGGAAAGTTAGTTAGTTGGCAGTCAAAGAAGCAAACATGTGTTTCGATCTCTACTGCTGAAGCTGAATATGTAGCAGCTGCTGCTTGTACATCTCAGATTATATGGATTCAAAGTCAGTTGAGAGATTATGCTGTGAATATGAAAAAGATTCCATTGTACTGTGATTCTCAAAGTGCAATACACATTTTTCATAATCCAGTACAACATTCAAAAACAAAACACATAGCTCTTCGTTATCATTTTATCAAAGATCATGTGGAAGATGGAAACATTGAAGTTCATTTTGTAAAAACAACTAATCAGCTTGCTGATATTTTTACAAAAGCCTTGGATGAAAAATCATTTGTTCGAATTTTGAAAGGGTTGGGAATGATTGAAGCGAATTCAGTTCCAGGACGGATTTCGAATGAATAACAAAGGTGTGTCATAGAAATGTGTCGATTCAGAGGCTATCAGACGTCATTCAGAGGTTACTGTTCATAGTCAACGCTTCGACACGCTTCGAATTCGACAATTTGCATGATGGTTGTGTGGTACAAAATTTTCGGTTGTTTATCAAATTTCTGTACGGTTGTTTAATTTTCGCTAGTTTGTCTAATTTTCGTTTGTTTGTACAAATTTTTTTTGTACGATTGTATCTTAGTTTCCTTTTCGAAAAATCAAAAACTACAAAAAGATTTTATTTTGTTTTGTTATTATCTTTTCGAAAAATCAAAAATACTAAAAAGATTTTCTTTTGTTAATTGTTTCATTTTTCGAAAAATTCACAAAAACTCAAAAATATTTTTTTTTGAAAAATCAAAAATATCAAAAAGATTTTTGTTATTCTCTTTGTTTCTTTTTCATTGTGCAGATAACACGAACATTTGTTTTCAAGGGTCATCCTTGGTTTCAAGGGAAGGTAAACTTTCGTTAATTATGTACTAGTTAGGTTATCCCTAGAAGCATGCTGCAGCATGTTGACCCAAGCCTCTGCAGAATCAATGTTTGTTTCCGAAAGCCTTAATGAACTTTTTCATACGAAAATTTCTTCCCAAGTCAGGCTTATATTCACATTAGTCGATTGAGCTACCTTACTCTTCTCACATGAGTTAAGAGTTATCTGTTTTGTCCGAAAATAACAGAGGTACAATTCGTTCTTCATAACCACTCTTTTTCATCACAAAATTTCTTACACTTGCATACACGAAGACATATATCCAAGAGATCTTTGATTCAACCCATCAAGGTTTAGATATATCAAAATTCTGTGTTAGTGATCTGACATCATGAGGTCGTGATGAAAGTGAAACCCAACTTCATATCTTAATACAGAATTGACGGGGAACTTTGTTCCAGATTTGACGAAACATTTGTTTCAGTACCATTTTTCGAAACTCAAAATCATATTCTCTTCTTATGTGTGATCTTGATCAAACTATCGAAACCTATGATGTTTGTTACCCAACAGGATTCAGAATAATTTTTTTTATGAATATGATTTCTGTATGAGTTTCTTGTGCTTTCAAAGTTACTATCAACATATTTCAAAGCATACTTGTCACTGACTACACTGGTCAAACAAGTAATTTCTGTTACAATTACTCACCTTATGTTTAGGATGATTTGTAACGAAATTTTAAAACCAACCAATAAGCCTAACAAAAGAAGCCCTTCGATACTTCTCTACAAGTATTCGATTGTAATTCACGGGAAAATATACAAGCAGTTGATTATCTCTCTTGATAATTAATGAAGTAACCTTTTCCCGGGGCTTCTCTGCTTTTGTGTCGAAATTTGTGACATCACAAGATCCAAATTTTCGTTAATTTGTTTCTTATCTTTTCTTTGGCACACAGCACACACGAAATCCTTGAGGTTCTGAGTACTACCAACTCAGGCTGATGATTTCGACAGTCTAGCAAATGACTTCGTCTCTAAACCCAAAGACGAAAGAGCTTACCCTCCATCCGAAGGTTGATGACGGTTACTATTCCTTGAGGTGACACGAACAGACTGTGTGAGGATACGTTTCCTGGTTTCAAGGTGATGTGACAATTACTTTTTGACGCATGACAACTTTATTGGCAGACTGGTGCGACTTTTAAGGTGCTACGTCAGATCTCAATCAATGCTTATCCTGCGTTCAATTCAAATTAAGGGTTACATATAAAAAGGGCATTTATGGGTTCTTTGTCTTTTTACGCACAACAAAAGAAATCAAATACCCAAATTCTCTCTGTTCTTCAAAGCTTCTAAACCCTAATCATGCCTGGCGTTGATTCTACTTCTCGAACAACTGAAGACATTACTTCTCAACCGATCATGAAGATTCAAAGCACCAATTATCAAGTGGAAGGGGATGTGTCTCTGTATCCAGAAGAATTGAAGATGCTAATTGTCGCATTGAAGAGTTCTGTTCTGTCAAAGGCGATGTTCAATTCATTCGCAGTTCCTCTCTCATGGATTTTTCAGGTAAGATCCACTGCTACGTATAGTAAAGCAATGGATATCATTACCTTTCAACTAGTGAATGACAAGAAAATTCGTTTGTCCCAGAAACTCTTTTGTCAGATTCTGGATATTCCCAATTCACAACTTGTTACTGATCTCACTTATGCACAAGTTATTCATATGTTTAATGAGATGGGTCATCAACCCCCACTCACGAAGATTAGTGATTTCAAGAAGTCAGCATTGCCAACTGTGTGGAATTTCTTGTTTGGAATTTTTCTGCGATGCTTAACAGGTCGAAGTGTTGGCTTAGACAAAGGTCGCATGGAGGTTTATGCGATGGTGGCATGATTGTACTATGATATCTCAGTTGATTATTCAACACAACTATGGAAGGAATTCCAAAAGAGTGTCGAAAACACGAATGTGGTTCAAGGCATTTCGTGTGCTAGGTATTGGAGCTTATTACTTGGTTACTTCTATGAAAAAGAAGGAATTGCTGTTCCTGCTGAAGAAGAAAAGGCTGAGTTTTTGAAGTATCACTTCCCAAAGGAAGTTTCGGATGATATGGAAGTATTCACAAACATTGCTCGGATTCCTGATGCAATGCTAAAGAGGGTTGAGCCAACGAATTCGGTGTTGGTTGAATATTTCAAAACTATCAATCCAGATGTTGAGACTGGAAAATTATTGTCGAAAGAAGAAGCTGGTCCTTCCAAGAAGTCTAAACGTTCTAAAAAGGATGCAAAGGCTACACCAGAAAACCCAGTGCATGAATCAAAGAAGTCTCCTAAGAATATTGTGCACGAATTCATGAAGTCTTCAAAGAAGCCTGAGATGGCTGAAGTGAATGTTTCGACTGTTGTCATCAAACCAGTGGAGCCTGTTAATGATACAGTAGTGGCAGAGAAAATTCCTTCAAAATCTGGTGTTTTTCGACGATTGAAGAAACGGACTAGGGGTTCACGAAAATCTTCGGATGGTGTGTTCAAATCTTCTCCTTCTAATGTTCGTAAACCACAACTCTCTCATCAAGGAGTCATTTTTCGAGAGGTTCCAGCTCCAGTTTCGCCTCTGTCCAAGAAACGTAGAGCTGAAGATGTGGCCAAACACATTTCAAAGAAGAAGAAACAACAACGCAAGTTGGTTATCCAAGAGGAGTCTTCCGAAGAAGAAGTAGTTCCTGACACACCAGAACCAATTGTTTCTCAATCTGTATCTACTCCTGAGCAGAATATTGTCATCCCACCCGAAGTTTCGTTAACTGAATCAAATACTGAGGAGGTTCGAACTTTAGACATCCCTACACACGTATCTGATACGGATGTAAATGTCAACATGGGTGAAGGAGGGTTGAACAAATAAGTTGAGGCTACTTCTAAAGGTATTCTTGGATCTTCAATCTCTAATACTTTCGTATCCTTACCTCCTTGTATTATTCCGAATATTACCAGTTCCCCAACATTTGAAAACATTCTTCATCAACCCTTTACTACTCTTTTCCCATCTCAATCCACTGATTCACCCAAAATTGATTCGCCTGTTGGTGAAACTGATACTGACAATGAAGGTTTTGGAGGTGCATTTGACGACTTACAGTTTGATGATGAAGAAGATCACTTCCCTGATCATATGTTGATGACAATGAAACAATTCAAGATTCTCAACCAGAAATTGAATTCCATTCTTCAATCTCAAGCAGATTTGGGGAGTAATTCGTCTGTTTCTAATATGGAAGTTGATAGTCTGCTGCAAACTTTCGAAGCAAAGGTGGTGAGTAAAGTCTCTGGAAAGATCCGAGATTCAGAGATTCGACTCTTGGAGAAGATTGATCACAATGATCAGAATGATGAATTAAGGGTGAATTCTCTCAATTCGATGTTTAGAAGGGAGGTGCAAGAATTCAAGGATTTGGTAAAAGAACGACATGTGTTATTCGTTAAAGATGTCAAGAAGGTGAGGGAAGATGTGAATTTGCAAATTCAAGAGCTTCGCCAGGATATGCAAAAGGAAATCTCGATTGTGCAACGAGATTATGCTTCGATTAATCAGAAAGTTGACATTATTTGTGATGCTGTTACCAAATATGTCAAGTTGTACGAAGATTTGAGTCCTCAACTTACTCAATTATCGACAACGGAAAATCAAAGCTTTGTGGAAGTGCTTAATCTGCTGAAGGAGCTCAAAGATTTAACTGTTAAATCAGTTTTATCTCCATTAATTACTCCAGACTTTTTGTCTCAAAAGTTCGTTCATTTTGAAGCTATTCTACACAAACAACTTGCTCCTCTTTCTCACATTTCTAGCCTTTTTCCGACGAATGCCCCACCTGTTTTCACAGGGGTGCAAGGGGGAGAAAAGGTGGTTGGTGGTACGAAGGATAGTGGTGAAGTTGTTGGAAAGATGTTTTCTTCGAAGATTCCAATAACAATACCAACCATGTCAACTGCTGAGCCAATTATTTCAACTGTTGTGACAACAATGCCAATATCAACGAAACCAATTTCAAGACCAATTTCCAAAGGAATTATGATTGGGGAAGGTGGCAACAGTTCGAAGCCTAAGGAACAGGTTGATAATTCATCTGTAAAAGACAAAGGCAAAGCTGTTATGGTCGAAAAATCAAAGGAAGAAAAGAAGGCTGAAGCGGAGGCTGAGGTTGAAAAGCTCCGAATTGTACAAAGCATTATGCGTCTTCGTGCAAATGATCCACCTGGGATGAACAAGGGTGATCCTTCAAAGCATTACAATTATGAAACAATAGAGTCGAAAGTTGCATATAACCATATGTATGCTTTCGAAAAGAAGCCAAAGAAAAGCTATGTTGTTCTCAACACCGATATGAGTCAATTGGATTTTCCCATCAATGAGATGATGTTCATTATAGATCAGTACAAAATAGCTGAAAATTTTGATAATGATGATGAGTACACTTACATGAAGATCACATTTCATGCTGTTCTTGGAAAGCTTCCAGAGGAGATTTGGTCACTGGTGAAGATTAAGAAGGTGATCAGCATAAAGCGAGATGTGTTGTTCGAAAATATGATGCAGAATCTTTGCTTTATTGTTTCTAGGGAGAATGGGCAAGTGTGTGATTTTTCGGTAGCTGATTTTCCTTTAATGAACTTGTATGATCTAATACAAGTTTCATTGTTGCTAAAGGATAAATATGCTTCATATCTTCGAGAAACTGATCCTGAAGTTTTTCGACTTGGGTTGGCTCACATCAAGATTTTCATTGACAACTATTATGAGTGCTTAGCTCTTACTGATGTTGAGTTAGCTACAACAAAGGGATAGACTGTAAAAGTGCCAATGGAACTTCCTTTAACTCAACCTGAGTTGAAGAAGTATCCTGACGGAGAAATATGTTTGAAGCCATTTGGTATGGTATATTGTGACAACCCGAAATAAAAAATTTGCTTTAAAAGCTCAGTCAGTCAACTCAATTGAGTGTCAGACTCATTGGTAATGAATTCTAGCCTGGTTAAAGGTCATTCTAAGGAGTTTTAAGCCTAGTACACTTAAGGAATAAGTGTTAGAATGTACCTGCTAGAGACACTGTGCAAACATTAGGGCCTTAACCTCATCATAAGGAGTTCACGACCACAAAGCCAATGAGTTTACGACCATAAACTCATGTGGCCGTAAACTCAAGTCCATATATATGGCCCTTGATCATTTCTAGCCATTCTTTCACTTCCAAACTCAAGAACTTCCAGTTTTCTCTCAAGTATCATCGAGTTCATCGTCTTAGATCATCAAAAAACGTAAGTGTTCTTTCCTTGATTTGTTGATACACTTCATCTCCTAGTTACACTCTTTGATTTCATCCATGAAATCATTCCATTTGCTAGATCTTCAAGTTTCACCAAGAACACACACTAGTGTTCTTGGCCAAAAACGACCATTTCAAGCCTCCATATCGTAAGTACTCTTCCCTACACTTGATATCTAGTTAAGGTTCATCCTTAGAGCCTTGAAAACATCAAAAACACAAGACCAAAAGGAGTTTATGGCCAAGCCATCACCCATGGCCGTAAACCCCTATAAGTATGCCATTTGAGCCTTAAACTCTTCCTAAGGCTTGGACTTGAGGCTAGAACACTCCCTTGTGCTTTGTAAGACCTTGAATCATCACCAAACTCATCATTTAGAGAGTTTACGGCCCAAGAGTAAACACCCTTGGCCGTAAACTCCAATTAAGGTCAAGTATTGGACCTTAAACACATCTAGGCTCTTGCTAAACCTTAGAACACTTGAACCCTTGAGACTCCCTATCTTTAAGACCCTAAATGTGATCATTTAGAGAGTTTACGGCCAAGAGTAAACTCCCTTGGCCGTAAACACCTCAACACTCTCCATTGAGTTGGTCTTTCTCACCACTGTGTAGAGTAAAATTCCCTCAAGCTTCCCTAGCCTTCAAACACCCTCATATGCAACTTTGACCATGAGTTTACGGCCGTAAACTCCCTTGGCCGTAAACACCAAACCATGGCCTTAAACACCCTTTAGATGAATCACATGTGATTCCAACACTTGGTCAAAGTGTTTCCTAGTCCCGTGAGGTGTTTCCTTGCATTTGGTTGCTTCCAAGCACTGTATTCATGCCAAAATATGTGATTATATGTCATTTAGGACTTGTTGTGTCTCGGGACTTCATTCGTGGAACTTATCATCCTTACACGCGTATTCGTTGAATCACCCACATCAGGTGAGTTCATACCCCGTAATGAATCTTTTAACTGTTTTAAATGCTTTTACGGGAGGGGGGGGGAATACAAGTTGAACACAATGTCAATTGTGTAAATGTTTTCTATAAACATCTTTCAAAAGATTGCTTATGTATTTTATAACTGATAAAAACATTTCAAAAACTCTTTTAAAGTTATGTTACTTTATAGTTTTACAAAACTCCATTTTTAAAGTACAAGCATAACTTAGTAGATAAAAGAGTTTTTTCAATAACAGTTCAAGTAAAACACTAGTAAACTATAATAGGTATAGTTTAGGAAGACACTATTCATTACTTCTAGTACAATGAAGCATACAAAGAGTCAGTTCATACATGAGTCAGAACACACTATTTTGAGAAACATTTCACACTACACACTATACAAGAGAGTATACTATACACTAGTACAGAGAGAACATTACTACACTATAACTTGCTATACAAACACTGTTATACGATAAATTAATGTGACATACTATTTAAGGATACAACGATACAGTGTTGTATCATATTGTAACCAGAGTCTCCTGGAGGGCGAGCGGGCATCTTGTGTATAGATCTATACGGGACAGACACTCCCACACCCTGACTGCTGGCTACAGTCCCAGCTGATAAGGCCAAGGGGTGACAAATGTCACCTCACTACATATGACACCGGAGGGTCATCTTTTATTCAGTCGTCGATCAGCATGGTTACATACGAGTTTACATTTAAACCTCTAATTAACCAATTTGGTATTAAAGGCTACTTACGACTCCCCGAGGTGTATTGTCCATTTAATACTACCTGGAGTCTGTACTTTACTACTTAAGACTCCCCGAGGTGTATCATCCATTTAATACTACCTGGAGTCTGTATTTTATTTCTTTATAGCCAGCAGTGTCACTGCTGAGGTAAAATATTATTTTCCCTATTACATTTACTTTGTGATCTTCTCATATACCTCATTATTGTATAAACTATATTTAGTTAATGAGAGTCTCACGCGGGAAAATACACATTAATACAAGAAACAAAAATACATAGCATTTGATGCCTTGGTAGAAGGCTACGTTTAGTAGAAAGGGCCATAATGCTAATCTTATGATTCCTTAATGTATACATCAAAGGATACATATATATCAATAGGATCCGACAGGTAATAGGATGTGTGCTCTCCGCTTCATTTACTGTTCTTGTTTCGTTGTGGGCTTGGAGCAGATTCACCCAGTCTATTATCTATTCGATTCTAGATATATATGTCCAGTATAGATTGAGTCATCATAAGGGTACCAGGTATGGGTCAAGTCATAGGACACAGAGTCAATGCATAATTTTCTAGTACAGAACATACTTTCCAAATCATAACTTGGGGTATACAAAACTAGAAACTTACTAGTAAAGGGGTTAATCCATTTTATTAAACCAGGATAAACTTCAAGGACCTTAGGTGATTAACTCTATAATACTTTAGTTTATGCAGCATGGTTATATATCATTGATACCCAATAGGTAGTTGGATGTGTGCTTTCCGCCTTACTTCCTGTTCCTTGTTTGGTTGTGGGCTTAGGGCAGATTCACCCAATTAACTATCTAATCGATATTAGATCATATATAGCCAGTATAAACTAAGTGATTATAGAAGTA